CACACACACACACACACACACACACACACACACACAGTGGCGAGTAGGCATTTCGGCAGCATAACGGCAACAACAATAACTGTTGCCGTTTTAGATAAATGGCAGCATTTATATGAAACAGCAACAGTTTTGCCGTGGCCTCGGCCTGGACCCACTGCCCTCCCCACACCGGCCACTGCCCACACGGTACCCCTCATTTGGTGGCACCGGAACAGGGCCGAAATGGCCCACATGGCCTTTTTTTTTTTTTTTTTTTTCCCTGTTTTTTTTTTTCTACATCACGCCGAAGGTCAGACACCCAAAAAAAAAATATGGGCGTGTAGGGCTTTTCCAGCCCTACACGCCCATATTTTTTTATTTTTTTTTTACACGTTAAAAATGGAAAAAACAATTAATGTACAATACTCGGCAGGTCGGCCTAGGCCGAACCGGGCGGATTCGGTCATCGGCCTAGGCCGCGGCCGATTCGGACCCCCCGGCCGCGGCTGGGCTTGCAACATAGGACGCAAGTAATCCGTCTGTCGACATATTGGTGGAGTTGGTCAATAGGTGAAAACGTGCAAATCGATGCTTCGTCAGTTCTCGACCGGTTGGGGGAGAAATTCCACAGAATTAGCCTCCCGTCCTTATATAATGAAGGACATTGTATGCCCGATCGTCTGCTAAAAGATAATCTTTCCCTCCGACCTCTACGTCTGCATGGCTTCCTATGCTTATTGCATATAGTATTCAAGCTAGGAGAGAACCTGGAAATGAAAGACTGCTCGGTTACACGCAGATCGTTCTTAGAAGGGAATACTAACGGAATCGTAACATAGGACTCCCACCCTCTTCTTTGCAACCATCGCTTCAGTTTGTGATTGCGACCCTTAGTATTGGATACAGCGAGCCGAACGTGCTCTCTCCATCTGTCATTGACACCTCTATTAGTCGAACCTATATAAATCGCACGATTCCAGGGGGAGATGAGGACATAAACGCAGCGTTGATTCCCATTGCATATGTCCGTTCTGGATTTCAGGGAGTCCACCCATGTGTCCAAAAACTTGGCTCCCCATGACATWGTACYTGTAAACACAAGCAAKWGCACAAACCAAYGCATCAACGTCTCCAAGCGGGCAGACTCTCCTCCCACCRTTCCTTGGCGTCTGCGGGCCGCTGCAAGTTCTCTGGCTATGTATCTTTTTAACGGAGAACGCGAAAAATTGAACGCGCGTTCATCCGTTTAACGGGCCCCYGACCCCCGTTAAATCGCGTTAAACGCAAAAACGGAGGTGTCGCGTCGAATTCCGAAAAACGGAATTTGCGCATTTGGCTTCGGACACGTGTACCTACGTTCCTGAACACTCAAACCAGAAAAAAAAAAAAAAAATTGGCC